CTTTCTTTCTTTCTTTCTTTCTTTCTTTTCTTTCTTTCTCTCTTTCTCTCTTTCTCTCTTTCTTTCCTTCTTTCTTTCTTTCCTTTCTTTCTTTCTTTTCTTTCTTTCTTTTTTTTTTGAGACCGAGTCTCGCACTATCGTCCAGGCTGTAGTGCAGTGGCACAATCTCGGCTCACTGCAATCTCTGCCTCCTGGGTTCAAGCAATTCTCCTGCCTCAGCCTCCCGAGTAGCTGGGACTACAGGTGTGCGCCACCACGCCCAGCTAATTTTTTTGTATTTTTAGTAGAGATGGGGTTTCACCATGTTGGCTAGGATGGTCTCAATCCCCAGACCTCATGATCTGCCCACCTTGGCCTCCCAAAGTGCTGGGATTACAGATGTGAGCCACCACACCCCACCACATCCGGCCCCCTTTTTTTTTTTGCCTGCTGCTGTCACCTGGGAGCCTCTCCCAGCTCCTCCAGCCAGCCTGCATTCCCTGTCCTATTGATCTCCTCAACTTCACACCAGCAATGGCACAGGGCTGAGTTCTTTTTGTGCTTTGGATTTCTCTGACTTTCTCTTTTGCTGTAGCTCTTCTATTCCAGAGAACCAGAGAAAGTTCTCTGTTTCTAATGACTACACTGATTAAATATGGCCCACCTGGAGAATCCAGGATTATCTCCCTATTTTAAATTCTGTGACCTTAATTATATTTGCCAAGTCCATTTTGCCCTGTAAGTTAATATATTTGAAGTTTCCAGGGATTCAGGCATTAACTTCTCTTGTTTTGTGAGGAGTGGGGAAGGTGCATGTTGTTCACTGTAAGTGGACACATATTATTAGTCTTATTGTAAGAAAGTACATGTTTGATATAGAATAGGAAAGTTAGTGAGGCCACAGGAGAAACTGAGAATGAGGTTTGGAAGCAAGACAATTATTACCCTTCGGGATCCCAGTGACACAATGATAGAAGCAGGTGGCAGAGAAATTCTAGGTAGAAAAGGGCGAGTCTCTGAACAAAATCTGACCCGCAAGCCTGATACCACAGCCCAAAGTGAGAACTCACATCCCTGTTTTCCCACTTGAACGTCACTCAAATGTTGCCTTTTCCAAAACCATCCATGGTTTGTCCTATCTCTTATCATGTGCCCATAAAAACCCCGGAACTTAGCTGGCAGAGAAGAAAAGGAACTGGACATCAGAGACTATGGTTGGATGTCAGAGAGAAGCAACTTGATTTCAGAGGGACAGTTTGATGGCGTAGCTTCAGAGAGGAGTCTGGCTGGGGGCAGCTGGACTTCAGGGGAAGATTACCTGCCCACTCTGTCCCCTTTTCAGCTCCTCTTCCTGCTGATACTCATTTTAATCAGCAATTAAGTCCCTCATATTTAAGTCCCTCTTCAATTCGTTTATGCAACCTCCTTCCTCCTGGATGTTGGACAAGAACTCAGGGGCCACGAATGTGGGTACAAAAGGCTCTCGCACTGACCCTTTGCTCTCACTGGTGGAAGGCAGCTGCCTCACATGAAAAGGCAGAGGGGCCACTGATCTGTTAACACCTGTTAACACTTAAGTCATCATGGATGGCCAAGCTTAAAGAACACTCTCACACTTTGTCTGGGGCCTCAGGTACCTCCTGGATGCTGTGGCAGTGCCAGTACAGAGTTGGCTCATGGCAACACCCAAAGCACTTGCCCCAGATCCTGCACCTGCTCACCTGTGTGTTCCCTTCCATGAGGGGTGGAATGCAGCAGGTTCCAGTGGGTGAAGTCTGTCCCTGTTGGTGCTGGAATGGCCAGCTGACTCCAGAGCTCCTGTACTCCAATTCCTGCCTGCAAAGGAGTAAGAAAAATATCCTGCTTCACTAAAGCATCTTGAATCGGTAGTTTTACAATTTTTATTAATCTTGTAAATTTAGGAGTCTTATATTTAAAACTATATTCCCTCTGCCTCTTATGATGATATTCTAATTTTATAAATGATTACCTGCTTGATATCCTACAGCTTACTGAAGATTGGTGCCTTTTGTTCTTTTTTCTTTTGAGACGGAGTCTTGCTCTGTTGCCCAGGCTGGAGTGCAGTGGCACGATCTTGGCTCACTGCAACCTCCACCTCCTGGGTTCAAACGATTCTCCTGCCTCAGCCTCCTGAGTAGCTGGGATTACAGGCGTGCGCCACCATGCCCAGCTATTTTTTGTATTTTTAGTAGAGATGAGGTTTCACTGTGTCAGCCAGGATGATCTCGATCTCCTGATCTTGTGATCCACCCGCCTCAGCCTCCCAAAGTGCTGGGATTACATGTGTGAGCCACCGCGCCCGGCCTTGGTTTACTTTCTTTTTTTACTTTTCCATCTCTCTGAGCTTCACTTGGGATAGTTTATCTTGCTAGGGCTTTATGTTCACTGATCCACAGTGCCTAATATGTTGTTAACCGTATTCAGTGTGTTTCTTATTTCAGATAATGATACTGACATTATCGGAAGAGGGAGCCATTGCACACCCTACAGTGTCAAGAAGGTTTTGATCAGGTAGCAGAAAACAACACTGGAAACAGTCAATCCCAGAGCCTTTATTGGGGTTTTGGTGGGAAAGGCAAGGCAGGGCAGGGAAAAGGGTTTGGGGTTGGTTAGTCTGAATTAATTCCAGCAGGATTGGGGCTATAGGAGTGGTCTCTAGTGGCCTGTACCTGGCCCTGGGATGGTTTAGGGTCAGGGAAATATAGGCTTGGAGTGTGAGAGTTAGCTAAGGAGATTGTTGGGACTACAGACTGAAGATTGAGTGGTTTACATATAATGTATCTGCTCTTACACAATTTGTTCCTATTTTTAGGAATTAGCTAGCCTTGGCAAGGAAACAAGGCTCCTAAATGCTGGAACATCAAGAATACAAAAAAGTAAGAAAATACAGTTAATATAATTGGTCCTGTGATAAACAGATGACAAATTGACAAATACCGAATTGAAGAAAACCCATAGCAGTCTGTTCAGAATAAACCTTCCCCCATTCTGTGGGTACAAGCCATTGTTCCTCACCATCCTTCCAAAGGAGTGGGCCTTTAACTCAATGTCAGAAAGAACACTTGCTAGACATTAAGCAGTCTTTGTTTATACGAGCCCAACCAGGCAGATTTGGGGCCGTCTACTATATTGTACCTGTATTAACAAACCTCAAATATCGTGGGCTTGACAGAATTTGCAACTTAGATCTGTTTTGTACCTACTAAGTGACATGAACTATGTTAATTCCTTTCGTTGGCTTCGTATCTTTTTCTATCTCCCATGTAGTCTCATTATTTTGCTGGTATATGTGGTGGTCTTGCTTGCTGGTCCCCAGACCACAACCCTATAGCAAAACAATAGATTATTTTCAACTTATACTGAGTTACACAATAGTGCCCATCTGACATCGTATTTTTACAACTAGTTATTGGGAAATACAGCATCCAAAAGGACACTTGCTCCACGTTTAGCAGTTTTTGTCTATTACATGTTCTCAAGTAGGCGTGGGGTTTACCATCTATTGTAGCCAAATTGTTCGAATGAATGCAAGCAACAAAGGAGGAGAGGTTACATTAGCTTTGGCTGTTGATGATCTCTTTCATTTTACACAAAACACAAATGAAAGATATTGATTAATGGTGGATAAATATAAATAAACAAAAGAAAGAGGATGTTTCCTACAGTTGATTAGTAGGCGTGAGCTACGCTAAATAATCAAAAGTTAAAGTCCTTTGCATTTGCCACTGCCTTCTTTTGTCATTATACACAATTGTTTATGAATCTGAAGAATTTTCTCCTAAGCTTATTTAAAGACCAAACGTTCAGTGCAGTTTCCTCATCTAGATGCTTATGTGTGAAGATGTGTTTAAAAAATAAACTTTAGGTGTCTAAGCAATCGCCATTCATTTTTTAGAAGAGCTGATTATAACTTGAGGCATCAGGGTGATAACCAAAAGCAATAGCATTTCTGGCTTCTGGAACGATAAAATTAGCTAGGTAATGACATTCTTCTCAGCTGATTAATTTTTTTTTCTAGCTGGGACATCTGCTGTCATTTGAAAACTGTCCAGTATGAATATCAGAAGCAGATGGGAACAGCATGGAAGATGTCAGATTTACTTGTAGTGTAAGTAATATTTGCTTTCTTTGGACAAGGTTTTATGCAGAAAAGGAAGTGCTATTTGCTCTCAGTTTTAGCCTTAGGCAGTGGTCAGTAGTGACAGGTAACAGTAGATGTGGCATCTGGGAAGAGGTGCTGACTTCCTCAAAGTAAGGTCTCCAGGCTGCTGCTTAATACTGCTTTTATGCTCACATGTTGTGTGATTAAATACTTGGTGAGGCCCTGGGGCTGCCAGCTGGACATGAGTTGACACCCTTATTAATCTTGAGAAATGTCCTCACTTTCATCCAATTAGAAAAGTTTTGGAAAAGCCCCGTGCCATGCGGCTGTGTTGCTTCCAGCAGATAATGCCAGTTGGCAGTTATCTTTTCATTAACTGGTCTGAGTGTTTCAGGATAGCTCCTGTTTTCATTAGCTGTTCCGAATATTTCAGGATACCTCTTGTTTGTTGTAACTTCATGGTAGAAGCTGTCAAGGGAAAGTGGAGGTTGCCTGTCGCAGCCACTTAAGAAATATTGCAAATCTTTGAAGCTCTCCAGAATCCCTAGAGCCAAAATATGGCATTTCTCCTTCTGATTGGTTTCTCTTTGAGGCCTGGCCATAAGCCTCCATTCCTGGCATCTCGCTTACTGTGCTCTGTGGCAAGCGAACAGAAGAGCATGGCGTTCTCAAGCTGAAAAATTCAGTCTTTCAAGAACAAAATTTCAGTGGAGTGCTTACGAGGATCTGGACCTGTCACTAGGTGCCGATGAATTAATGACTAAAAGATTGTCTATCCTTCAAGATCTCACAGTCCAGGGAAGCATCAGATATGTGAACAGATTATTAAATGCAGGGGGTTTTATAATAAGAATGTATACAAATTATTATGACCGAAAATAAGGGAAATCTGGGAAAAAAGGTTTTTAGTTGAGTATTTAAAGATCAAAGTAATTCATTACGGCACAAAAGTGAAGGAATATTATTCCAGTAAGGAACAAACATAGGGAGGGACAATAACGCATTTGTGGGGATTAGGCATACATCAGATGAATGACCAGGCAAGGAAGGGACGTTCTAGGTCAGTAGTTACCACACTTCATGGCCTCAGAACATCTTTACACTCCTATTATTGGGGACCCCAAAGAGCTTCTGTTTACATGGGTTATACCTATGCTAGTTACTGTACTTTAAATTTATCTTAAACTGACATTTTATTAAACACAACATGTTAACATTTGAGAATAATTATATTTCCAAACAAGAGAAAAATAGCGTAGAGTCACATTGCTTTATATTTTTGAAAATTTCTTTAATTTCTTGCTTACGAACACAATTAGATTCATATAGCTGTTTCTGCATTCAGATAGTTGCAATATGTTGTTTTGGTTCAAGATGTAAAAAAAAATCTGGTCTTAACACATACAGGGAGCTGAAAAAGTGATGAGATTTTGAATTGCCTTTACAGATAACTGTGGATATTCTTCTTCAATACTACCCAAAAATCCTATAAGTGGTAGTCTATTAAAAGTTTCTTGCAATAAAAAATGTGGAACTGTATGCAAAGGCATTTTATATTCAGTTACATTAAATCCATTGGTCTGTTCTGCACTGTGAATGGACATTTTGCCATGAATAATTTTGCAACATTACACGTTGATCATCAGAAGAAATATTGTTTCACTCAGTTATGCAGATCTTCCAACTGTTGTCATATTAATTGTACAATACCAAAAAGTCACATTTGTTAAAGTCACCCCTAATTTCATCAGAAAAAGTCTTTTAGTGCTGAGAAACTGTCAAGTTTACAGAGGTTGATATAAGTTCTCCAATATTCTAATTTTTGCTTGAAAGCTTTAATTTTATCAGTTGTTTTCCTTACAGTGACAAACCACATTAGAAAACCTATTGTTTGTCTGTCAGTCGTTCTTTCAAGTAAAAATGGTGTTCCATGAAAAACAGCAGCAAGCACAGCTTGCAGCTCAATCTTACAAGTGCTTTTTCTCAGGAACATCATTGCCCTTGATATGTAGCGGAAGTACTTCATGTGCACGTGCCGTTTCACCATACAGAATATTTCAAAAGCATGTACTCCACATTACATAAAATTCGCAATTTTAGGCTACTTTTTTCCGGACATTCTTACATGAAACTGGCTGCTTTTTTTGTTTGTTTGTTTTGTTTTCCTTTATGCAGTGTGTACGGAAGAGTATAATGGTCCCGTCACGGTTGGATACGTCTGCCTTGATTGGTGTTCAGGCCCCTGAAATTCTAACCACCACTATTTTTGAACCATCAGTGCAAGTCTCAACATAGCAGAAGAGCAAATAATGCCCCATTTTGATCTTGCTGATCCGCTGACTAGGTCTTGAATACCATCCTTTGGAACAACTATTTTAAATAAAATTATAAAGGAGAAGAAAAGAAACAGGAAAAAGGAAATTTATTGAGCAAACTCTATGCCCCAGAGACTAAAGAGCATTAGGATTCATTTAGTTAAAGTGATCAAAAAATGAAAATAATTTACCAAACAAAAAATAAAACTCTTGACAAATTAGCTAAGGAAAAAAGGGAGTGCATTAGTTCATTTGACTAAACTGAGGCCAGGGAAGGGGTACCACAGTAACCTAAGAATAATTGAAAGCTGGAATCAGGTGCGGTGACTTAAGCCTGTAATCCCAGCACTTTGGGAGGCTGAGGCGGGCAGATCACTTGAGGTTAGGAGTTCGAGACCAGCTAACAAGATGAAACCCCACCTCTACTAAAAATACAAAAATTAGCTGGGCATGCTGGCATGTGCCTGTAATCCCAGCTACTTGGGAGGATGAGGCAGGAGAATTGCTTGAACCCAGAATGCAGAGGTTGCAGTGAGCTGAGATCACATCATCACACTCCAGCCTGGGTGAAGAAGTGAGACTCCATCTCAAAAAAAAAAAAGCAAGCAAGAAAGAAAGTTGGAAAACACACATCCTGAGGCCCTCTCCATCTCTCCCTTGACCTTTAATCTCTGACCAACTCTTCCCATGAAGTTGGATCCTTGGCTGCTGGCAACTACTGGTTCACCTTTCTAATTTTGTTACCAGAAAGGAAGAGACTCTCTTCCATTATTCTAATGTAAAAAATCCCAGAGAAAGAAAGACTGGCTCACCTTGGGTATATGCTGTCTTTGTGGCCAGGATGGGGGGTGGGAGAGGTAGAGTTAGAAATGGCTTATGTGATTGGCAGGGCCCATCTGAATCATGTGGTTGACTAGGGAGAAGAATGGGTCCTGAAAGGTAATGTGGGAGTTGTTTTCAGAAGAAAGGAGATGTTTTTGGAAAATTCAATAACAGAGAGTGTGTGTGTGTGAGTGTGTATGTGTGTGTGTGTGTGTGTGTGTAGGCTTATATATTTAATATAAATATCACAATACATTCTGAATCAGCCAAATTTAAAAAATGAGGAATCTACTTGTCAGGGTTTAATCAACTTTCCCAGCATTACAAAACTATCAATTTAGGGAGCTGCATTTACATGCCTCTAAGTTCAACTTTGAAGGTTCTAACTTCAACTTTGTGAGGCTGCCTCCCAGTGAGGACAAGAGAATGTGTGTGGGTGATTCAAAGAGTCAACTTATTCATAAAGCTCAGAAAATCTGTTTTTCAACATATTTACTTACTAATTTATTTTCCAAACATTAGTATTTTTAAAATTATCAATTGACAGTAGAAAATGATGACTTCATCCTAAAGTCATGATTGGATATATGGAATCAATGTTTTGCGACAGTTTATTCATGAAATGTTGCTATATTATAATGTCAAATTGTGACAGGTTAATGACTAATGTTTATTAAATAGTTAAATGTGTTGAACTCTATGCTAGCCACTTAGTAGACACTGTGAAAATTTAATCTTCACAACAGTGCCATTAGCCAGCTACTATCATGATTTCCTTTAGCTAATGCCTAAGAGGTAGAGGTCTTGATGGTCTTACTTTGGTGATTAAATTCTCCAGCCAAGTAGCCACACACAACTCCTACTCACACCTTGCTCCAGAGCTAGTTACATGGCCCCTCCTCACCAAATAGGGCTAGAAAATGCAAACCTACTGGGTACCTGGAAGTAGGAGTACCAAGAGCATTTAACAACACAAACAGCAAAATTATCTCTTTCCATCCACCTGAAATTAGATTGTCTGCAATCTTCATCATGTTCACTTTTTAAAATTGAAGGCATTGTAGTTCTTTGAGTTTAAGTCTCCATGAGAGGAGCACAAACTAATCTGCTATCTAATTAGCATTGAATTTAAATTACCTGAGAAGCTACACTATGCTCTGAATATGTGTGAGAATAAAGTCTGTGATAGGAAGTGAAGCTCGAGTGATACCTCTGGCTGCAACGTCCCATGAGCCACATACATGCTGGATAACAGAAATTAGGGTGAGAATACAAACAGGAGGCTGATTCATACTACAGACAGACTTTTGTTATTTTGTAATTTTTTCCTGCACATTAAAACAACCAAATTTTTGCCATTGAACTTCCTTTGGGAAATCCTCCCAATTCCTCCTAGATTTAAGCCTGAAGGTCACGTCTTAGCAATCGTTCTATGTTCCAATATCCACCTTGCTGCTAAGGGAAAGGACTCAGCCATCCTACTTCTCCCCTGAATAGGCCACTCCCATTCAGGATGACTTGCAGATGGGGATGTGCTGACTGTAGTTCCTTCCTGGATAATCATCAAAAGGAAACTACAGGCTGGGCACGGTGGTTCACACATGTAATCCCAGCACTCTGAGAGGCTGAGGTGGGCAGATTACATGAGTCCAGGAGTTCAAAACCAGCCTGGGCAACAGCCAGTCTCTACCAAAAAATGCAAAAATTAGCTGGGTGTGCATGTCCCAGCTCCTCAGGAGGCTGAGGCAGAAGGATCAGTTGAGCCCAGGAGGCAGAGGTAACAGTAAGCCGTGATCAGTTCACTGTGCTCCAACCTGGGTGCCAGCACCAGACCCTGTCCCCCAGCAAAAAGAAAGAAAGAAGAAAACTACAATATGAAACCGAGGAAGGCATGAAGCTCAAGAATTTTTAGTGAGTTCTTAAAGCCATTACTCTTAATATTTATTTTATGAGTTAGGAATAGAAATGCTTCAACAATACCTATTCCAGCCCAACCCATAGATTATTTTAAGAGTGAAATTATGTATCCTTGGGCACAGCTTTTGGTGAATAACAGATGGCTCATAAAGCTGCTATACCCATGGCTACAGTGTATCACAGCTAAAGCATATGGACTACAATCAGCCCAATGAAGAAGCACGTAGAGCAGAGTCCAGGAAGGTTCCAAATTCAGAGTTCCTGCTGTCCTTTCTAAGCAGTCATGGAAAGGGTTGCCTTCAAGTGTGACAATAAGGGCAGAGTGTTGCCAACCAGGGACACTCACCCAGGCCTTGGTGCCCAGAGCGCTTGTTGGCACTCCACCTACAGGCACAGCTGACTACACCCTTGGCTAACCCAGTGTCCAGCCCCTGTAGAGGTCAAGCTGTTACCATGTGACCCAAGGCTCCCACACCAAACCACGCTGTTGGAATGCCTAGCATGGCCAGCGCCCCTTCCCTAAATCACATTGTTACACTCCAATCTGTCAGAAACAATGTTCCATGGGCTTAGATATTAACTTCCGGAAGCCAAGGACAAAGGCCATACCTCTCCTTGAATAAGATTAAATTCTTTACTATACAAACCACACCACATACACACACACACACACACACACACACACACACACACACACAGAGCCAGCTACAACCAAAACTTTCACACTTGAAGCTCACTTATAAGTCATATGATACGGTTTGGCTGTGTCCACACCCAAATCTCATCTTGAATTGTAGCTCCCATAATTCTCACATGTTGTGGGAGGGACCCAGTGGGAGATAACTGAATCATGCGGGAGGTTACCCTCATACTGTTCCCATGGTAGTGAATAAGTCTCACGAGATTTGATGGTTTCATAAGGGGAAACCATTTTCACTTGGTTCTCATTCTCTTTTCTGCTGCCATGTAAAACGTAACTGTCACCTTCCGCCATGATGGTGAGACCTCCCCACCCATGTAGAACTGTGAGTCCATTTTACCTCTTTTTCTTTATAAATTACCCAGTCTCAGATATGTCCTCATCAGCAGCCTAATACTTCATATCCTGTCCGTAGGGGAAAAAAATGAAAAATTCCAAAGAAAAATTCCATTAATTGTGGCTGCTGATTACAACTTTTGTAAATATTACTCCTTACTGGAAAGATTTTGTAAAGAAGCAGGGCTCTTTTTTTCAATAATGCATTATACAATTATTCTACAAAGAAAAAACTTGGATATTAGTACCTTTAAAATAAGAGGGGTTAATTATGAGTTTTTCACTTCTAAAACTAAGCTTTACCTACTCTCCTTTCTGTTGGCCTAATTAACTCAATCTCTAGAGATCTTTGGCTTTGCTGTGAAGTTCAGGACATGTCACTGCTGATGAATACATTAATGACAGAAAGGAATCAAAGTCAAAATTAGCATGAAATTAGTATCCTACTGCTCACTACCTTCAGGGAAAACTAACTGAACTTATTAGGACACCTGTTGATGAGACCATCAACTCTGGCAAAAATTTTAGTTTTTGCTTTAGATACCTTTGGTACAATATTGTCATAAACTTCAAGCTATTTCAAAAGCAGAAGATATGGGTCCTCACCAAATGACTGTTATGTTATGATCCCCTCAACGTTTATGATCCCCTCAACATTTATAGTCTTCAAAAACTGAAATCTTGATACAAAGAATCTTCACTGTGAAACTGTAGTAATTACCCTTTAAATTGATTTTATTCATATTCACCTTATAGATGCTTCAAGTATACCAGGTGTTATATTTTAAATGCAGCTATTTTAGGGAATGTAAGGAAAGAATATTCATCTAAATAGGCTTTGGATACATAGTAATGGAAAGAGCCAACATTATAAGAGAGTACCCACTTAGAAATAAGCAGCCCTTATTAGAAATCTATCTTGTCCATAGGTTTTTGGAAACACTGTAATAATATATTGTTGATCTTCCTTGGAGCACGTCATACCAGGTAGCCTTCCAAGAAAAAAATAGCAGATCTGGAGAAAGAGATTGCATGTGAAAATAAAACATTTAAATGTAAATTTTATTGAAACAGGTTTCCCACCTGTCTCTTTCTCCCACTTTCTCCAATGCCTTTTTTAATGGGTAGTCTTTGTTATAATTAAGGAAATGTTTATTTCCTAATTTATTTGTTCTGTCTCATAAATAGGTTATCCTTAAGTGCTGATGAGATAATTAATATTCAAGAAAGACAATTTAAAGTACCTGCCAAATGCACATGCCCAGGGCTCTAAGGGCCACCCAGCTGACGGTGAGCAGTGAGCCAGTGAGTGAAGCCTCATCTGCATTTACAGCCACTCCCCATTACTCCCACTATTGCCTGAGCTCTGCCCCCGTCAGATCAGTGGCAGCAGTAGGTTCTTATAGAAGTGTAAACCCTATTGTGAACTGTGAATACGAGGGATCTAGGTTATGTGAATCTAGGCTATTAGATTCTCATAAGGATATGAGAATCTAATGCCTGATAATCTGTCACTGCCTCCCATCACTCCCATATGGGGCCATCTAGTTGCAGGAAAACAAGCTCAGGGCCCCCACAGATTCCACATTATGGTGAGTTATATCATTATTTCATTATAGATTACAATGGAATAATAACACAAACAAAGTACACAATAAATGTAATGCGCTTGAGTCATCCTGAAATCATACCCCACCTCCACCAGTCCGTGGAGAAATTGTCTTCCATGAAGCCAGTTCCTGGTGCCAACAAAGTGGGAGACTGCTGGTCTAAGACATAACTAATAATGACAGAGCAAAGGAGGTTAGTAAATTGTAATTTAACAGTGTGACCCTAGACTTTATTAACATTAAAACAAAAATCAAAGATGTTTGCATATCCTGAAAACCTGCTATTGGAGATGGAGAATCCTTTCCATAAAGTCAATAAAATATAAGGTAAATTCTACTAGAACGTAGGGCCAGTAAGGGTTTGTTTCTTTTAAAGTGGTAAGGTATATTTTATCAGATAACTCTCTAGCAAGCTTCGTTGCTATCTGTTGGCTGCCAGGAAACAGAAAGCTAATCACCTTCTGCTATCAATGGCTTAGGGGTAGTCTTTCATTTTGTAGTGGAATGTGGCCTCCTGAAATAGATGGAAATTCAGACCCTGCAGATTTCAATCTGAAAACAGGCTCTGGATAGGAAGAGTGATATCTAGATAGTTCCCACTTCAGCCAATCACCGTAGCTATCCCCTTGGTGTGCTACCCACGAGTCTAGTCATGATGGATATTTTCATTAAAAGAATTAACTGAATAGTAATAAAGACCAAAGAGAAAATAAAGAAAATGCATAAATGTTCCTAGCAGTTTGTCTTACAACATGCTGGTTTCGGATCCTCTCAAATCAAGGTCTGTTTACTCCCAACATCTCTGATGTTCTTTCTCATTTTGCATCTTTTTCCACGAGGGGAAAAAACCCATCCCTTGCCTGAATTCCTCATTTCCTGGTGAGCTCTAGTAAGCTCTAGTATTTATTTTATTTTCTTCTCAATATTTTCCTACCTTTAATCATTATTTTTAACTCCCATATGTGTATTTACATTATAAACTGTTTCAAGCTACTTCTCAAAGTAGAGAGAGACTAAAATACAACAAATCAACGCATCCATCGAGAACGAATGAGGCTAATTTATAATGCTAATGAACACTTCAGGAAGGGATTCAAGCCCCGGTTTTGGGTTGGACTAGCAAGGCATGTAAACGGATTATGGGTTACAAAATTCTACAGCCCCTGGAAGATTTGACATAAAAGAGCAAACAGTTTACAGTCCTTCTCCATAGTAAAGAATATAAAACTGCTTTGTATCTTTGTCATGTGAAATAGCAAGTCAAAATAAGGGTGAGCGTGGTCTGCTTTCAACTTCAGTGTTTCTCACTTTACTTAATTGTAGCACAGATTTCCTCATCGAATAACCCATTTTGCTGTTTTAGGCCGTCTATTTTCAAGCAGGCAAGAAAAATTAGGACGTACCACGCAGGCAAGTGAGTCAGATCTGTCACTCATTCTGCTGGGGCAATGCCTAAAGTTTTGTGCTGTTAGTCACGCAATGTAGCTGAAAAAAATGCCATATTCACTATATTCCAATGTATAACAGTGCTACTTTATTGTAATCACCTCTTTCAATCCTATTTTCTCCCTGGAAAGAACTAGGTGACAGCGCAGCATTGCTCAGTGGAAGAATTTCTGGTTTTCATTGTATTAGACAATCACTACGTAGTAAATTGAATAGCAAAATGGCACAAGAGATAAACAAGGCTATAAGCCCAGCTATAGAAAGGGAACTTTACATTTGCTGTGACTCAACACAACAACAATCTCATGACATTTATTGTGTCAAAACTGCATTAACCCCTGGACTATTACTGTCATAATAGGTTCTATGTTTTGCCTCAGTTTCAGTTGCTTCAGTGATGCATCATTATTTTCTACAAACACTATACTTCTAACGAATGCTAATGTCCTATGTGATTATTTAGTAACAGTTTAAAAGAGACCATTTAAAAAGGAATATACCTTTAAATATGTATTCATATTTATATCATATGGTCAAAAAATTATTAAAATTATTAACTGATATATGACATATAAGCAATATTTAATAAGCTTTACAGTAGGTTTTGAAAAACTTGAATCTCCTCAATTTCACTTTACAAGCATAAAATATGCGTATGCATAAGTATATATAAGTATGCATATGGATGTGTGTGGATGTGTACACACATACCCACATATGTGCATATATGACATTTCCACATACAGGGATACATGTAACTATAATGTCATTACACTTGAAAATCATGAAAACTGGCTGCCGGTACAAAATTCCGGCCTTCATTACATTCATTATATATTTACTCATCCAATAATTAATTTGCTCAACAAATATTTATTGAGCTTTTTGTGCAAGACTTTCGGCTGACCCTTGGATTTAAAAATAATTAAGACAAGTGCTTGTCCAAAAAAAGGTTACAATTTATTAAAGGACATAAGAGAGTTATACAACCAACCATTATGAAAGCCAGAATAATTACAAGCCAACTGACTAGTGCCAAGGGAGTACTGTTCTTTCAAATAAGTAAAATTTCAAAAAATTTCATGGAGAATTGTAAAGCTAGGGCTTTAAAAATGTGTACAGTTCCCAAGGTGAAAGGAGAAAGTTTAATTAAAGTTTAAAATAATTGAATTAGAGTAAATGACTTAAGAAAATGCAGAGACTGGAAAGGAATTTTGGTTGAACTCTAGAGTCACAAATCTGGCTACATACTACGATGAGAGATGAAGCTGGAAGAATAGTTTGTTTAGATGGTAGAGGATCATCAATGTATGACCAAAAGATTTAGTTTTCAACAAATGAGCCGAAGACAGTCACTGAAGTGGTTCAGATCACTGAGTGAAGTAAACACAGTTGTCTGCATAGGCTTTGACTCATGTTGGCATGAGCCATAGATTGTTGTGAAGAAAAGCCGTTGAACAGTGGGTTTGTGTCTGAGTCAGTGTGACACTAATCACAAGAAATTGGGTGCTAATAGTGTTGAAATGTAAAAGAAAGGCAACATGTGTCTGCCTGTGTATGCACAGATATATACATGTAGTTGTCAGATAGTTGTTATAGGTATAAGGAAGAGGGTAGTGGCCAGGCGCGGCGGCTCATGCCTGTAATCCCAGCACTTTGGGAAGCCGAGGCGGGTAGATCACCTGAAGTCAGGAGTTCAAGACCAGACTGGCCAACCTGATGAAACCCGTCTCTACTAAAAATACAAAAATGAGCTGGGTGTGGTGGCAGGCGCCTGTAATTCAGGAGGCTGAGGCAGGAAAGTCACTTGAACTTGGGAGGCATAGGTTGCAGTGAGCTGAGATCAAGCCATAGCACTATTACAGCCTGAGCGACAGAGCAAGACTCCGTCTCAAGAAAAAAAGGAAGAGGCTAGTTTTGGGGTATTGGAGGAGGTTTGGGAGAAATTAAAGATAAATTACTACATATTATATATTACATGGTCACAATTTTGGGGATTGGGTTTTGGATACCTTTGGGGTGAGAAGGGAAATTAATTAATTCCTACCTCAGGGCCATATCATTAAGATCGTTCACACATTCCCCTTAAATAAGACATCTTGACAGTATCAGCGCTATCACCCTCTTAACTCAATCATGGGAGCAGGATGTGCCTTTCGTATTTTAACTTTTCGGGGTGTAATCAGTCAGCATCGCCGTGAGGCTTAAGTCTTCCAAACCAACTGCTGTGGTACCTGAATGTGATTTTCATAAGCTTTATTGCTATGATCGAACCTAAATTGAACTTCTTGATCAACATCCCAACCATAAGGTATTATTTAATTCATACTTATAAAATATAATTAATAATTAATTTGTATTTATACTCAACCATGCCCATAAACCCACAAACATAACTAACCAAAACCCAATAACAAGAAACCGTACTCAAAAATCCGAATCAACCTGTATTTTTTGAGTCAGTTACCCTAAACAGATACCCCTCTACTAACAAAATTTACTAAACATAATCCCCATTTCACTAGCAAATACACATACCTCCTACAATCACTATATATTTTAATTAATATTACTAGCTGCGATTACTCTTCACATACCTTAAAAAGGACCCTCCAGAAAACACACTCAAATCTCTACCCTAGTCAACCAGACTTAAATTAAACCTCAAAACTTCCTACTTATAATTATTTCCCTCATCCCCATTGCCTTCACATCTATCAAGTTAATATAGCTTAATTTTTCAAAGCAAGACAATGAAAATGTCTAGACGGGTTCTCATCACCCCATAAACACATAGGTTTGGTCCTAGCCTTTCTATTAGCTCTCAGTGAGATTACAGATGCAAGTATCCACACCTCTGTGAAAATGCCCTCTAGATTTCCAGAACAAGAGGAGCAAGTATCAAGCACACACATGCAGCTCAAAACACTTTGCTCAGCCACGCCCACACGGGAAACAGCAGTGACAAACTTTTAGCAATAAACGAAAGTTTAACTAAGCTACACTAATTATAAGAGTTGGTCAATTTCGTGGCAGCTACTGAGGCCATATGATTAACTCAAGTTAATAGAACCTGGCGTAAAGAGTGTTTAAGGTCTATCCTCAATAAAGCTAATCTATATCTAAGCTGCAGAAAACTCCAGCTATAATAAAATATACTACGAAAGTGGCTTTAACACCCTAAAGACACAATGGCTAAGATACAAACTGAGATTAGACACCCCACTATGCTTAGCCCTAAACCTCAGTGATTTAATCAACAAAATTACTTGCCAGAATACTACAAGGAACAGGTTAAAACTCAAAGGACTTCACGGTGCTTTATATCTCTCTAGAGGAGCCTGTTCCGTAATTGATAGACCCCAGTAGACCTCACCACCCGTTGCCCCCAGCCCATATACCACTATCTTCAGCAAGCCCTTCAAAGGTTATAAAGTAAGCACAAGTATGACCACAAAAACCTTAGGTCAAGGTGTAGCCAATGATGTGGGAAGAAATGGACTACATTTTCTAATTCAGAAAATTCTACACCAACCTTTATGAAACCTAAAGACCCAAGGAAGATTTAGCGGTAAATCAGGAATAGAGAGCTTGATTGAATAAGGCCATGAAGCACGCACACACTGCCCATCACCCTCCTCAAACATCATATAAAAGTACTTTACCAAAAGCCACTACATGCTGATATAGAGGGGATAAGTTGTAACATGGTAAGCTTACTGGAAAGTGCGCTTGGATGAACCAAAGTGTAGCTTAGCCTAAAGCAACCAGCTTACACCCGGAAGATCTCATCATTAACTTGATCACTTTGTTCTAGCCCCAACCTCAGGTAATCATACTACCAAATTATAATAATTAAATCATTTACCTATTATAAAAGTATAGGTGATAGAAATTGCATTTAGGCGCAACAGATACAGTACCGTAAGGGAAAGACGAAAAAACAAAGCATCGAAAAACAAAGACAAATCCTTCTACCTTCTGCATAATGAATTAACTAGAAATAACCTTGTACAGAGAACTTCAACAATGCTCCCCGAAACCAAGTGAACTACCCAAGGATAGCTAAAAGAGCACACCCATCTATGTGGCAAAATAGTGGGAAAATCTATGGGTAGTGACAACAAACCTACCAAGCCTGGTGATAGCTGGTTGTCCAAGACAGAATCTTAGTTCAATCTTAAATTTACCTACAGAATTATTTAATCCCCCTGTAAATTTAATTGTTAGGCTGAAGAGGGACAGCTCTTCAGACCCTAAGAAATAACCTTTCACAGAGAGTAAAACTTTTCATTACTATAGTTGGCCTAAAAGCAGCACCAATTAAGAAAGCATTCAAGCTGAATATTCAATCACTCTTAATTCTACCCACTTTACTGAACTCCTAAAATCACACTGGACTAATCTATTATTCAATAGAAGCAACAATGTTAGTATAAGTAACATGAAAATATCCTTCTCCGAATAAGCTTATATCAGACCGAAATAGCTACTGTTAACCCAATTCTTATATCCTATATCTTAATTAGTTTATTATCACAAAAAATTTCATCTCTAAAACCCTCCTTATAACCACCTTATTTTTGTGAATTCAAACACCATATCCTCAATTCCGCTACCACCAATTGATATATCTCCTATGAAAAAATATTTTGCCACTTACACTAGCACTATGTATATGATATATTCTGATACCCATCCTAACATCCAGCATCCCACCTCAAACATAAGAAAGATGTCTGATAAAAGAATTACTTTGATAGAGTAAATCATAGAGGTTTAAACCCTCTTCTTTCTAGAACTATAGGAATTGAACCCATACCTGAGAATTCAAAACTCTCCATGCTACCTATTACACTATGTTCTAAGTAAGGTCAGCTAAACAAGCCATCAGGCCCATGCCCTGAAAATGTTCGTTTAATCCTTCCCATACTAATTAATCCATTGGCCCAACTCATTATCTCCCTTCTCACCTATTAATTAATGACCTATTAATCATTATAAAATGTCTCTTTTTATTTTTGATTTTTTTGCTGTAGTGTCTAGGGTTTTTAATGTTAGTAAAACTATGTTATCTTTCTTTCTGTGTTCCATAATATGTATTTATATATATGTGTTATATAGTACACTGTGTAGATGTTTTGTCTTTTTTCTGCATCTTCTATTCTTCTCATGATTTTATATGAACATTTTTGATGACCAGTCCTTCAGTTCACCGAGTTTCTCTTCTGTTGTTTCTAATCTGCTGTTAAACCTATATATTAAATTCTGACTTTCGGTTGCTGTATATTGCAGTTCTAAAATGACCTCTTGGCCATTGGATTCTTTTTGTTAAAGATTCCAGTCCTATGATGAATCTCCCCATTTTTCCATGTACTATTTTTAGCACAAGAAATTAATTATATTTACCCTCAAGGATGTATGATGCTTCTAGTATGTATAAAACCTGCGGGTCTATTGTTTTTATTGTCTTTAGTCATTTTCTTCTATCTCCTGGAACACTTGAAAATATTTAAATGTTTTTCTGATACTGTATATAAATATTGTAGAGAACATTTGAGACTTTGGATGATGTCAGGCCTTCCAGATGATTTTCAATTGCTGGCATCAGAGTAGAGGAAGACTATGACACATGGAAATTCAGTGGTTGGATGCTGTATATCACTTTTTTTGAAGGCTTATGTATTTCAAATTCACTGTATTTTCTTAGGGTAGAGCTTTGCCAAGGTCCTAAGTAGAATTTCTTTTGTTGTTTTTTGCTTTATACCTAGTAATTCTCCTTCCTCTTGACAGGCTCTGAGATACTTTGTTTTGTCTCAAGAGCCATCCAAAATTAACAGATCATCTGCTTATCTTCCTATCCTCTTAGCTGAAACATTTCAGCGTCATTGCTTCTCGGCCCTAAGCCACAACCACCTCAAGAGGAAAAGTAGTACAAAATACTGGATTTATGTCAATGCTCTTTTAATCTCTCTGGATCTCATTTTATCACATTTACAATTGATTCCATAAACATGTGAGACAGCCAAAGCTCTTAGCCACTGCTTACAAATCAGCAGATGACTCCAAAATCATTTGGCTATCTCAATAGTTGCGGGGGGAAACATTGAAAAATTTCAATACCTATTTATGATTAAAACAACAACAACTAGCTTACAAGCCTGTTTTATAAAAGAATTTCCTTCATTTGGTGAGGGTTATGTACCAAAGTCTACATCAAATACTCTTAATGAAAAATAGTAGTTAAATACATTCTTTTTAAGACTGGGGGCCAGGTGCGTTGGCTTATGTCTGTAATCCCAGCACTTTCGGAGGCTGAGGCAGGCAGATCACCTGATGTCAGGAGTTCAAGATGAGACTGGCTAACATGGTAGAACCCTGTCTCTACTAAAAATACAAAAATTAGCCAGGTGTGGTGGCGCACATCTGTAATCCCAGCTACTCAGGAGCCTAAGACAGGAGAATCACCTGAACCCAAGAGGTAGAGGTTTCAGTGAGCCGAGATTGTGCCACTGCACTCCAGCCTGGGCGACACAGCGAGATTCTGTCTAAAAAAAAAATACTGGGAACAAGAGTAGAATGCCCATTATTTTTCCTTCTGTTGTACATATTGTTAGATAGATATCTTGGACACTGATAAAAAAAATTATATTTGAAATGACTATGTAGATAGAGAACACAACCAAGTCAACAAGTAAAGTAACTTATAAATAAGTAAAGTTGTCAGATTTGAACCAATACAAATTAATATTTCCTTATACCAGCAAAACCAAATAAAAATTGTAATGAAACATGTCATCTTTCTCAGTAGCAAGAAACAATGAAAGAGCCTAGGTATTAACTTACTCTATAGTGAATAGGACCTCTGTTCACAAAATGTTAATCCCTAAAAGGCACATGACAAATAATTTGAAAAAATGAAAAACTGTTTATTTTCTTACACAGGATGACACAATATTATAAAAAGATGAATTTATCTCAGATAATTTTATGAATGCAACTCAACTCCAGATCACATTTCAGTTGTATTTTTGATGCACAGAAGGCAAGAGTTGACCTTTGGGAACCTCCACCTTGATTTCAGAGGAAGTATGGAAATGCCTGGGTGTCCAGGTGGTAGTCTGCTTCAGGGGCAGAGCCCTCATGAAGAAACTCTGCTGGGGCAGTACAAAGGCGAAATGTGTGGTTGCAGCCCTCACACAGAGTCTCCACTGGGCATAGTGGAGCTGTGAAAAGAGGGTCACTGTCCTACAGTCCCCAGAATGGTACATTCACCAACAGCTTGCACAGTGTGCCTGGAAAAGCCACAAACACTCAACACCAGCACGAGAGAGCTACCCAAGGTGGTGGGAGCCTGCACCTTGCAGCACTGTGCCCCAGATGTGAGACATGGAGTCAAAGGAGATCATTTCAGAGCTTTACGATGTAATGACTACTCCAGTGGATTTTGGACTTGCATGGGGCCTGAGGCCCCTTTGTTTTGGCCAATTTCTCCTATTTGGAATGGGAGCATTTACCCAATGTCTGTACCCTCATTGGATCTAGGAAGTAACTAATTTGCTTTTGATTTTACATGATCATAGGTGGAAGGGACTTGCCTTGTCTCAGATGAGACTTTGGATTGTGTACTTTGGAGTAAATGCTGAAATGGAGTTTGGGAGCCTCTTGGGAAGGGATGATTGGTTTTGAAATGTGAAAAGACATCAGATTTGGAAACGGTGAGCGGAGGAATCATATGGTTTGGCTCTGGGTCCCCACCCAAATCTCATCTCAAATTGTAATCCTCATGTGTTGAGGGAGGGAGGTGTTTGGATTGATTTAGTTTATTATTATTTTAAAACTTGGGCTCATTAGGAGGTAATAGTCATCTAGCAAAAAGACATCATTCCAACAGGTAGTGACTTCCTCCAACTTCCTTCCTCTGAATTTCTCTCTCTGTCCACGTTATCTTGGATATTTGAAAAGAATTCTAATGGAGACTTATTTTTCTGTGTTCAAGTGTGAATAAACAATTTAAAGGGCAACATGTACAGCTTTCTATATTAGGGGTAGGGGTGATCAGACATTTAGAAGGGTACACGGTGACCCCTGAAGAAAATGGTCATAGCAATAAGTCTAAAAGCTCAGAGCACTAAAATGGAGGCAAGGAAAAAAGCTGAGTCATTCTGCAAGCTAACTAACTTTGTAACGTTGGTAAGAAGATTATCCTTTGTGAGCATATATTTTCACCTCTAAAATAAAGAAATTAGGATACATAATCTCAGTGACCCCTTTTGGTTCTAGAATTCTAAGATTCTCAACTGAACAAAAAAATAAACTATTAGTAGAGATTCTAGCAGTTGAATTTGTGCAAGAAAGCAAGTGTCTTTCTGATGTTGCTTACCTTTAAACAGATCTTCAATATTTTTGTGTCAACTTTCAGGTAAAACTAAGTTGAGTCTTCAACATAACTTGGTTTGTGTGAACTTCTTACTATTATCTTTTTTTTTTTTTTTTAAAGATCAGGTTTCACCATGTTGGTCAGGCTGGTCTTGAACTCCTGACCTCAGGTGATCTGTCCACCTTGGCCTCCAAAGTGCTTGGATTATAGGCGTGAGCCACCACGCCCGGCCAATTATCTTTTTTTGATTTTTATATGTAAGGAAAAAAGAGAGGGAAGACAGCTTGCTTTCTTTTTATCCAGTCTCTGGAGATAAAGTGGGCACATGGAATGCATTTTAATTAGTAAATATAACCGATGCCCACATATTCCAACTGATCTTCTCTCAACTTTTTGTGTTCCAGTTCCACCAAAAAAAAGTTTGACATTGGATATATATACATATATATATATATATATATATATATATGGTAGTAGATTGGAAAATGGTTTCCCCAAAGACATCAGGTCATAATCCCTGGAAACTGTCTATGTTACCTTACTTGAGATAAAGGGTATTTGCACATGCGATTGAGCTAAGGATCCTGAGATGAGGCAAGTGTTCTGGATTATCTTGGTGGGTCCTGAATGCCATCACAAGTGTCCTTATGAGAGACAGGCAGGCTAGATTTTATAGACAGATGAAGAAAAGGCAATGTGAAGATAGAGGCAGAGAATGGGCTCATGTGGCGATGCAACAAGAAACAGCGACAGCCATCTGAAGCTGGAAGAACCAGGCAACAGATTTCCAGTCAATCCTCCTCAGAGAACATGCAGAGACAAGGCAAGAGACTTGAAAATTGGAGTGATGAGGCACAGATGAAGAATGCTGGAAGTCACCAGAAGTGAAAGAAGGAAGGGATGGAC